GCGTGAAGGTTTATAATGGAATATTCTCTTTCCCGCCCCGGCATTGTTGTAACTCAGATAGTTACATCTCAATTCAATGTGGCACAATGGGAAAAGACGCGTGCCACCAAAATTGCAAACAACTGCAGGCGCTGTAGGATGACATCTGCTACATGCGATTTCTCCCATTCTTGCAATTGTTTGGCTGGGCTGTTGCTTTCATCCTGTGGTTAGAGAAGAACATAAGTCAGATCTGCATTTGACCCAATTATCAAGGTGTCAGCCCTTGTGAATGTTCATCCCAGCAACACATCTGGGTGCTCAAGTGAGAGAAAATTATTTGGCACGACTGGACCGGTGACAAAACAGCTGAAGGGGGACATTTGGAGCTATAGGTCCTGTTGAGGAATAGCCTGACTTCCTTGTGTTGACAGTGTGAGAGTGGCTATGAAAACAGTAGTGGTGTAAGGGATATAACTTTACTCCAGCAGTGAAATTAAATTTTTTTTACTACCGGCTCTGTGGGCGTGGCTTGGTGGGCGTGGTGTGGCTTGGGGGGCGTGGGGTGGGTTTGGGGGGGGGGGGGGGGGACCTGGGAGAAACAGGGTGTATCCATTATGTGCTCTTATTTATTTAATATACTTATTTAATGTATTTATTTCTATTTATATGGCTCAATTCCTATCATGCATGGCCTGTTTCCCTGAAAATAAGACTTCCTCGGATAATAAGCCCAATCGGGCTTTTGAACACATGTGCTAAAATAAGCCCTCCGCCAAAAATAAGCCCTTCCCGAAAATATTGCAACACAGCAGCAGCCATGAGGTGACCACGCTTGCTGCTTCCTGCACCTCAAAAATAAGGCCAAGTGCTTATTTCAGGGGTCAAAAGAAAATAAGATCCCGTCTTATTTTCGGGGAAACACAGTAGTGACCAAGAACGTATAGGAAAACTAAGTGCCAACTATTAATATCAAAAGTGGGGGGATCACTCAAGAATCTCACACTTTCATTTACAATGTAAAATGTTATGTTCATCCTTTTTTGAAGGATTATGACAAGTATTTTGTATGATTGACTGCAATAAAAAGCTATATTTGTGTACTTGAAATGAATTCAGTAGTTCCATAAATGGAAAAATGACATAGAGGTGAGAGACTTCCCCCTCCCCTCTAGTATACTCCAGGGGCAGAGCAGAATGCTGCCTGAACTCATCCAGTGCTGCACTATGCAAAATTAATGTAACTGAGCTGCTGTCATTGACATCTTTTATACAATGCTGGGATGATGGGAACTATGGGGGCATCATTGATAGAGCGCCTGGACTCTCACAACATTTTCCTGGAACCTTCCCTTTGGTGGTGTCCCACATTAACACTTATAATTCAATATTTTATAATAAATCAGAATTTTGTCAAACTTTTTAAGTTTTAAAATTTGGAAGACATAATGCTGTGACAGCTGTGCTGCACTAGTAGGCCAATGACATCACCCCTATAATTTATTATCACAGACTTCTAAATCTGTATCTACAGACTGTGCCTCACATGCTTGACAGGACAGAAACCAGGAATTTGACAATGATCTGAATGTTTTTATTTAAATAAAAGGAGTGAATAAAAGCAGAAAGATCCCAAAGGATAGCAAAATTACACACATGTATTTGAGGAAAGGGATTCATGTGTGCAGCTCGTATTTATTCAATGTTACCAAAGTACAGTTTGATCTGGTTCGTCCTTGCCACTTCTCCAAATGATGGTAAATTCCAGAACAGCTTGACTGGGTCAGCTTCCTATAAAGAATGCAGACCAAAGCCGTATTTTGTAGCAACTGTTTATTTACAAATTTACAGCTGAGAGGCAAGCCAAACAGAAATGAAAATTCAATATTAGTCATTGATATCTGTCATGGTAACTCTTAATTCTAGCAAGCAGCAACTGTGATATTTTTTTTTAAAACCAACACACCTGCTAATAAATTAGATGGATGCTGAACCATTAATTCAAAAGTTCCCCATCTTACCCAAATAATTGAAAGAGCACATCGTTTTTATATTTCTGGGTGTCTTTCCCCCCCCCCCACTCCTTTTCTAGATTCTAGTACATTATATTTCCTTTCCCCAAACTTGCTTTTTTAAAGCCTTTTGGAAATCAACGAATTTCATCTTTCCTGAATTCTATAAAGGTGTGCGTGTGCGAGGGAGGAAGGGAGGGAGGGCTCAACAATTCCAGAGGTTGTCCAACCCTTCATCCCTAGTTTTGCCCCAATCCAGGCACGATTAAAGAAATAGCTGTTAAGAAAAGAAAGAACTTAAATGGTTAAATAGTGGCAATTTATGGGAGAAATGTTTGTCCAAAGATTTGTGGAGAGAAGCTAAAAGAAACCAGAGTATATTTACCGATATGTCGATGCCCTTGATTGTATATTATAGGCAAGAAAGAATGGGAGGAACAAAGGACATGTAGAGAATTGTGTGTGTGTCCTACAGGCACTGACCTACTTCTACCTTAGCATAAAGCTTCATTAAATCGTCAATTTCATCTCCAGAAGTGTCATTACTTATATTGTCAACAGTGAGCAGGGATTGGAAATCTGGATCATCCACTTGCAAGTTTGGCATATCAAAAAGGGAGGAAGGTTCCTGTTCCTCTTCATTTGACTGGAAAAGAAAAGGATCTAAGGAAAAAGAGGAAGGGAGAGCAAATCAGCCAAGATAAACCCAGAAAGACAAATGAGAGAAATCCAAACGAAAAGAGAGGAAATGGAAAGAAACAAACAATTCTGCAACCATAGCCTCAAAACTTCTGTGGAGATTCTCAGTCATCCAGCTTGTCCCAAAGGTGCTTTTTCAGGAGGCAACTGGACTTTCTTGTTTTTTCTTTGCTTTTGGCTTCTCATTCAAGAAGCTTCTTCAGTTCGGACTGGATGGTGGGGAATGGAAGGATTTATATTCCTTGCAAAGAGCTTGTCATTTGCATTCTTTTAGAGAGTCACTGAGACGTTAATGACCAGCTGTCTGCAAGGAGTATAAATCCTTCCAAAAACAGCTCCTCTGGGACACAGTCTCAAAAGGATTACTTCTGGGACAACAACTGCCCAATTTAAGAGGGCCCAGATACATTATTTACCTTCCTTGATAAGCAGAAAGTTATCCTCTCTATACTCAGGATTTTGCAGTCCATCAGCTACCAACTCATTGCTTATAGGGAGTAGTTCATTTACTGGCACATCTGGCGTCTGAGTCTCTGCTGGTTGCCTAGATGAATTAGAGGAAAAAGGAAAAAAGAAGCATTCTACCACCTTCAGTAGCATCAATAATTGAGATGGGGGGCAGGGGAGAGACGGTATCTTCTCTGCCATGACACCAAAGTTGGGGAATTCTCTTGCTAGAGAAATTCAGTTGAACTTAAAATCTCTTTTAAGATTTAGACAATCAGTTCAGATTTTATTTCTCCCATTTTTTAAACCTGCATTCGGGTGTTCCCCGCCAATCAACTGATTTGCATAAAAAGACTTAGAGACAGCACCTCCCTGAGTGGAAGGCACAGGCATCAATGGCTTGATGGGGAGCTGCCTGGTCTATTCCAAAGGTGTCCAGCTAGCTGGCCTCTGGATTAAGGGATTAAACCAGGGAAGAACACAACCCAAAAGCTGAGCAGGACATATAACCTCAGCAAGGAGTTCCATAAACAAAAGTCCTATTTGCTCTCTGAACTTCCCTTTCCTGGTCATTCTTTTATCTAGTCTCAAAAGTTTGCCAGGTGGGGGCGGGATTAGAAGGGTAGCAAAGAAGGAAGGAGGCAACTCAATCAGAAGCACTGTCTGCTTGCATTACTCTGGACCCAAGTCAAGGCCTTTGTAGATGAAACAGGCCATTGTAGGCCAGTGAGATGAAACAGGATTCCCACGTTAGCTCAGCCTCGCTTGTCTATCACGGGGTACAGAGCCCATGAGAAGTGGGGTTGCAGTAGAATGTTGGATTCAAGTGAATGGAAGACAGTTTGGGAGTGATGCATGTGACAATTACAACCAATGACTTGAAGAAGCAAAGAAAGGAGAAGATGGCATTGCTCACGTAGAGACTCTGATCAGGCGACGGTTCAGGTATTGTCTTTGTTCCATTGTGCTTACTGGAAAAAAAAGAAGAAGTATGAAGGATGGAGAAGCAGCAACACTATCAATACTTTCCAATCCTTGCACCAGATTTAACAGTTTCCTTCGCAGTTTCCTTGGTGGTTAAGGCATCAGGTTGAAAACAAGGAGACTGAGAGTTCAAGTCCTGCCTTAGCCATGAGAGCCAGCTGGGTGACTTTGAGTCAGGCACTCGCTGTCTCAGCCCAATCCAACTCACAGGGTGGTTGTTGTGGGGGAAATAGGAAGGTGTGCTGGATATGTTTGCTTGCCTTAAGTTTGTTGTAAAAAAAATAAATGCAGGATACAAATAAACAAACAAACAAATATCCTTACTATGGAGATAAATGTTTGCACTATAATTTTATTCAGAACAGCATGAATATTTCAGAAGAACTCTGGTGGAAATGATGCATGGAAAGGGGAAGCCCTAATCTTTTGCCTCAATTGTTGAAATTGGCATGACAAGGAAAGATCCCATGTTTACTAATTAAAGATTTCTTTGCTATGCCAAGAGCATCACTTGTATACCTGAGGCATCATCCGTCTTTGTCTCCTTTAAACTGTAAAACCCCCTGGAACAGTTTAGGTTGCTCTGTAAGGTGTCATCATAATCAACATCATCGTCCCTCTGACAAAATGCACTTTAAACCTTCCCTACCCAAACAATTACATTTACTAGATCTCAACATCCATATAGCAATTCTGGAAATATCAGAATACATCTGAACTCATTCATGGGAAAATGCAGTTCAGCTGAATTGCAGGGTATAAATAAGAGTCCCAGTGGAGAATGCCCAAGGAAAAACTGGCAGTCACTAATACCTTTCTGGCATTCTTTGTAGTAAGAACCAAAAGCTTCATCCCTTGGCATGTCAGGATACAGGTAGAGGAGTGGATTCTCTGGAATGACCTCTGTCGCCAGGAGTTGGTAATGTCGGATGATATCAGGCAGTGAAAGGAACTCCAGCTCTTTCCTGGTGTAGGGCTCAACTGAATTGAACTCGGGAACACCTGCAAAAATTGGGTTCTCGGTGATCATCCAGAAATTTGAATCTGGGAGGGCAATGTGCTTGATGAGAAGAGTAAGTCTTTGGTAAGTTTCCATCTGTTACTTCTTGTCCTGCCTTGAGGCCTTTTGGAGAAAAGGCCAATCCCCTCTTCTCTGTGATAGCCCTCAAATGTTGGAAGACTGCTACCAGTCTTTGGAAGGACCCCTAGTCCTTCTCTTCATTAGACTAGACATACCTAATTTCTGCAATATATTTCAACCTTCAGTTCCCTAATCATCTTTGCTGTTCTTCTCTGGATATTTTCTAGAGTCTCAATATCTTTTCTGTATTGTGGTGACCAAAACCGGACACAATATTCCAAGTGAGTCTTACCAAGCAGTATATAGCAGTACTAATACCTCATATGATCTTGATGCTATTCCTCTGTTGATGCAGCCTAAGACTGTGTTGCCTTTTTTTGGCAACTACTGCACATTGCTGGCTCATATTTAAGTGGTTGTTCCCTAGGACTCCTAGATCCCTCTCATAGTTACTGCTGTTGAGCCAGGTACAACCTATTTTTAAAAATATACTGTTAATGTTAATTCCTGCTAATTCCGAAAGATCTCCTGTATGGAGAATTGGGGAAGAGAACGCGCCCCAGAGGGAGACCACAGCTGCGATATAAGGATATCTGCAAGAGAGATCTAAAGGCCTTGAGAATGGACATTAACAGCTGGGAAACCTTGGCCTCTGATCGTTCAGCTTGGAGGCTAAAGACGTAGCATGGGCTTCTCCAATTCGAAGAGACACTTGTTCGGCAGGTTGAGGCAAAGAGGCAGTCCCGGAACCAGTGAAATCTGGGGGCTGGGCAGGGGACAGAATGTATCTACACTCAGTGTGGAAGGGATTAGCCACACCAGATGCTGCATTAGGACCTCTTTTCAGAGCACAATACCATAGTCTTTTGAGACTGAAGGATGCCAATGACTGTTAATGTCTGGAAAGTCACTGTTTCGGCTACAACTCATTAACATTGCCCTCATAAAGATATTACCTGAAAGAAATTTATGAAAGGAATCAAGAATGGGAAAGGGGAATATGCATCCTAATATTATAATTGAGAGCTGAAGACAATGGAGAAAGGGAAAAAGAAATGATAATGAGATACTCATTTTCCACACTCCTACTTGGTTGCCCCAATCTAGTCTATTCCAATACAAGGCCCTCTGTACTGATTTTTAAATTGTGAGGAGCAGAATAGAAACATCTCTGACATCTTCTTCTCCTCAGCAGCTTAGTCTGACAAGGTATTTGCTAAAGTTGAAAATGTCCCAGAATGAGTGTGAATGCTAAAGGAAGCCAGCAGTATGGGGTATTTAGAACAATGTTTCTCAACCTTGGCAATTTTAAGATGCATGTACTTCAACTCCCAGAATTCCCCCGCCAGCAGAGAATTCTGGGAGTTGAAGTCCACATATCTTAAAAGTGCCGAAACTGAGAAACACTGATTTAAAAACTCCCTTATGAGAGCAAGGGTCTCAATCTGTCACATCTCCAAGTGTCTTTATGAGCTTGCAAGAGGACTCTGCTATTACAGAAATTATCTAAACATAGATTTGAAAATATTCTTTTAATGGTGGAGGATTTAAATAATGACTTGAATGGCTCAATCAGGAATTTTCAAGGTTTTGCTTGTTTGTTTAAAAAGAAATCCAGAATCCCTAATCGAGAGGCTGTCTATGGCTGAAATACAAAAGCAGATTGACTGATAAGGTACCATTATGGTTTTTATCCCATGAAGCAATACATAGAAATAATTGGAACTTAAATGGATGACATCACAATGCATTGATATCTGAAGAAAAAGTACTTGAGGTAAAATAAGAGAACAAGTAATGAGAGATTTAATTGTGAATGGTTTAATTATTATAGAATTTTTGAAAGATTTAAACTTAATAAAAAGCTTTGTTTTTGCAGGAGATAAATCTGAATTGGACTCAAACTTATGTTCTGGATATGATCACTTGATTGGTAAAGTCTATAAAAATATTACTTAAGATGAATCTGAAAGATGAATATGTTAAAGATTGCATGGTAAAGTGGGTGAAAAACATTGGTTATAATACCCCGTTTCTCCAAAAAGAAGGTTGGGTCTTGTTTTCTTTTGACCCCTGAAAAAAACAGGCCTTCTTTTTGGAGGGTTCTAATTATTGACTCGCCTTGCAGCGGTGGCACTGACAGCAGGAGCCCGCTGCTGGCTCACTTCTTCTGCAGCTGCTTGCCGTCACTCGCCCACATCTCCCAGGCCTCTGGTTTGCCTTTTAGTGCCTGCTGGAAGGCAACTGCAGTGATCCGGAGCTTTGTTTTTGGCTGCAGAAACCTTCCAGTAGCCATCTGAAGGAGAAACGGAGGCCTGGGCAATATGTGCAAGT